ATATGCCAATTGGCAGGTGCTTCTGAGAAGTAGCTGTAAATATTTTCATAAGGTTGGAAGTGTCGTTCTAATGTCACTGTCTGAATGCAATAAAAAAAATTATGGGCGTGCTTTTTGATAAGCAAGCTTAGAATTCTTATGGTTATTGAATATGTCTTAGTCATGTTAATATATTTACTTTTGGTGCTACTCTTTTTAAGAGTCTTTTAGCCTTATTAACGGTTTTTATGCCAGTAGGAAATATGGAGAACTTCTAATACCTTCCAATTTTATTGTTATTTTGTGTAGTGTTAACTTGAGATGAATTTAAACGGGAACGTGGTTAGTGAGGATTCAGATAGCTGTCTCCAACTTGCTTGGGACTGAGGCATACTAGTTGTTTATTAGTACTTTTTTATAAGCAGTCCTCAGATTGCTCTCACTATGATTTTTGGCATTTGGACTTCAAGTTGTTGGTTGGTCTTGAAGTATATTTGACTTGCAACTATCGAAATTTTTTCTTGGAATGGATGTATGTTTGGCTTGAAGTATCATATTCATAATCTTCCACTTTAACTTGCGTCAAATTCTCTTTTTTCAGGTAAGACACATGCACTGGTATCAATTAGGAGATGAAGTATTAACCTGTGAGTGCAGATGCAGCAAAGCTAAGCTACCTCCGAGCAAGTAAAGTCCATAACATAACCTTTTGAGTCAATGCTCATCAAGAGTGCTAACTATTCTCTTCCTATATTTTCGCCAAACTATCATGACGTTAGTGCCTATTGTCTAGCTTCAATATAAGGTGAAGAGGTGGGCCTAGAGAGAATCTTATTATTGAACTGGATTTAGTCTATCTGCTTTTTGTTGGATGGAAAAGAATAATGGAAAAGGAATGACTTTGTTAACGGAAGTCATGGTTTACTCATTTATTGATGTCTAGTCATCCGTATTTAACTTTGAGAAAAATTGTGGGTCATGGTTGATATCCTCTCTTTCTACTTCTATCACTGTTGTTTCTCTTCCTGTTCTCCCTCTCTTTTCATTTTTTGTTACTCTTTTCTCAGAAGGTGGAATTATGAAAGCTTATGGCGAACAAGTGTAATCTTAAAAAAAAACAAGATAATGGTTAACTATTAGAAGACAAAAGGTTAGAGAGCTAATAGCTAATCTTATGCTAGTAATAATGGTTTATTGCATTTCAATGTCATGAAAAGTCATAGTTGGTCTCCTTTCCATTTCATATCACAAGGCTCTGCTCATCCTATGTTGGTAGCTTTGGTGCTTGTTTGTTGAAAGTGTGGGAACTTCCGACTTCAGTGTCCATATATCAAGCTGATCAATTTTGTTAGATTTTCTTTAGATTGGATTCATTAGTAGTTAAATGAATTTCCGGCTCCTAGAGACACAAGTGGGCCATATAAGTTGACCTGCAGATGATGCCATTGGATTGTGAATTTTCTTTATTATTCATAACTTAAAATTAGGAAATGCATAGAACATTGGGCTTAAAGTATTCATATCAGAATGTTTTCTAGTCGAACACTTTTTTTCTTGTTATTAATATGAGATATAGGTCTCTCAGGTTTTTTGCTTATTGATGTTATTAGTAATGATTTTTCTCTCCAACAGATTCTGGCTATTTGAACCTCGATGTGGCATGCATGACATTGGAGGTTGGTATGTGGAGACGTTTGGCAGAGATAAGAAAGGCCGAAATGTGCCATCTCAGAGGTATTGGGATGGCTTGGAGGCAAATGATCACTTTGAGAAGTAAGTATCTGGCGTAGAAGCCTGAAACACATGAATTGAAATTCTCCACCCATTTAATGATAAATCTATGTGGCACTGTGGCAGATTTTTTTAAGGTATATTATGAATTGTGCTGTTAACTATGCTTTGATGTTTTGCATCTTGATAAATTGATCTAACTTTACAATACAGGATGTGTTTGCACCCTGCTTGAAAAGATTAATGTGAAATCTTTCTCTTTATTTCTTATGAGCCTAGCCGAAGCCACTTGGCTAGAATCTGTTATCGTTCTCATTATGTCCCAGGAATATGGAATATCTCCAATTGTAATATGTTAACTATGCTTTGATGTTTTGCATCTTGATAAATTACTCTAATTTTACAATGCAGGATGTGTTTGCACCCTGCTTGAAAAGATTAATGTGAAATCTTTCTTTATTTCTTATGAGCCTAGCCGAAGCCACTTGGCTAGAATCGGTTATCGTTCTCATTATGTCCCATGAATATGGAATATCTCCAATTGTAATATGAAAGTTTTGATGTTGCAGAAACGAATTGCCATTTGAAATTTTGTAGGAATGTCCCATTAGCTTGAAAGCAGTAACATTTAATGTGCGGATATACTCTTGACTGTGCAGGAGATTACATCCAGCAATGTACTTGCTTGGTCTTGCCTACAGGACTCTAGATATTGAACATTCAAGGAGAAATAAACAAAGAATGAAGGATCTTATGGAGTTGAACTTATCTAGAATTTTCAGCTGGTGCAAGAGACTAGTACGCTAATGCCTAGTGACATTCAGCTCTATCATCATATCCTTGTTCAGCCCCAGAAGTTATTAGGGAACTGTACTTGTTTTTGATAAAGGTAACAAATCTATATTCCATTAGCACAAAGGAAGTGTTAAAAGCCATATTTACAATTCTCAAAAAGAGCTGATGAACAGGTGAAACTCTTGTTAAAGAATCCTCATATAAGCTAGGGCGTCCATTAGGATGGCTCGTGGATTAATGAGCAAACACCATGAGGCTTGGATACAACCGATTTTTTTTCTTATATGCTGCCATTGATTCACCAAGCACATTGATGCAGCTTAAACTCTTTTAACTGCCAATGAGATTGCTGTCCTGCTGCATTTCCTGGTCTCTTATTTTTGGTGCCACGACCTATATTGGTTACTGGATGGAGTAAATTGAATTGCTGAAGCACCATCAAGAATGATACTCCGTTAGTGTGAAGAACTACATGCGTACTGCCTTTGGCTTGGTCTTCGGTGACACAACATAATGCTAAACTATGCTGATCCTCATATCTTGAAAGCCATATTTGGATCAGAACATTATGTCCCTGAAAAGGCATTTGATGCCTTACGTAGAAACCAAGTAACACCTCAAGCCAAAGGAGTGAAGCATTGAGATTTCAGAGAGAGGCAATGGTGTTAGCACAGATGACAACAATTATAATTCTCGTGTGCTGGCTTGCATTGCAGGTAGATTTTTGGTCAGATGATTGATGCGCACTTGCTATATACTATTTATGATTCTTGAACTTTTTTGCTTGTTATACAGTTTAGAACATCAAATAGTTCTCTATGAAAAATAACACAGTAGTTAGTTACTGGTTTAGTATATTTGAGTTCAATTACACAAATCTTGTAAACAGTTCTACAGTGGCTTTCTTATCATTTTATTTAAGTGGGTCTACCATTTCCAATACCGCATCAGTGGGTCTCCTATACCTCATTTTTCGAATTTTTTCGATCTTGTTCAAGATTTTAGTTCTTCATGATCAACAACATGGGAATTTTGTATCTCGTTCAAGAATTTTTTCGATCTCGTTCAGCATGATCGACAACATGGGAATTATTTAATTTCCATTTATAAAAATTTTCAGTTATTTTTTCGATACCAGTGTTGCCATAGGAGTATGGCTTTCCACTAGGTGAAAAGAGGAGAATAATAGCATTTGCTTCTGTCAATGCTGAAAATTCTCTTGAACAAACTCAGTTTCCTTTTTGAAAAAGTAACATAGCGTGCCTCTTTTGATTCAACCAACTTCATTTCCTATTTTTCGTTTGACATTATCAAATTACTTGAGATAAGTAGTTAAATTAGTGTTTTTTTTTAATTTCAGTGAAAGCGTGAGTTTCAATTTTAAACTATCACTTATTAGTTTGAGAAGCACACTTTAACGATGTGAGTAATATACAATGAGATTCTTATGTTTATGAGAAATAATAGTGATTATTTTAAGGGAAAAGAGTCAAAAATGTCCTTAAATCGTGTGAAAAGAACAGTTTGTTTGTAGTTTAGCTCAAAAATGCCCTTGTAATCAATATTTTGGTCCAGAAATGTCCTTATAGTTACAAAATGGGTTTAAAATGTCCTTTTACGAATAAATGTATTTTTTCTTTTTAAACATATCTTCTTTTTAATTAAAATATTATTGAAGAACACTATTCTTGTTTTATTTCTTCTAAAATCATTTTAACAAATAAAAATGCAGAAAATAATTTTTTAACTTCATTTATCAATTAAAACTAAATAATTTCATGTACTCTTTCGACGTATAATATATTTTATATATATAAAATTATAATATATCCGTCATTAATTTATATTTATATAACGATAAAAAATAATAATAACAAATAAGAAATATACTTATTATTTTTTTCTGATATGAAGTAGGATTAACATATGCTATTTTTTAAAAAAATATAGTGTTAGAAAAAGAATGTGTTAAAAAGAAAATAATAATATCTTTATTTGAAAAATGAGCAATTTGAGCCATTATATAACAATAACAACATTTTTGGATCAAATCATTGACGACAAGGACATTTTTGGAGCAAACAACAAACATAGGGCATTTTTATTCCTTTCGTATAGTTTAAAACATTTTACAGCCAAAGATATTTTTTTCCTTTCACGTAGTTTAAAGATACTTTTTTTACCCTTTTCCCTTATTTTAATAGTTTACAACTTATAAAATTCTTATATTTATGAGAAAATATACAATATAATAATTTTATATCGCATATCTTAATAAATTTTATTTTCATCTTATAATTTCAAATTATGATATCATAATTGACCAAACAATCCTTAATTAAACAGGTTCGAGCCATTAAAAAAAAGTTTTTCGTAACAAGTGTAATCGGTTCTCCCTTTTTACTTGGACACGGGAAAGTGTATCTGACTGTATATTTACAGATGGAGTAATTATTAGTACTATTTTTTTTTCTTCAAAATTGAGTAGTGATCTTCAAATTCGTAAAACATTATGGGTTAAATTGTAATTTGATAATATTCAAACTGTACGTGCTAGGCGCTTCCCTTTTAGGAAACGAAGACGACGTTCCGTTGAATCAGAATTGAGGACTTTCCACCCGCCGACGGAAGTCAAAGGTCGTCGGCATTTGATCGCCGGACTTTGTGAACTAATACAAGTAGTAGTTTTTTTCCCCCAGCGATTCCAATCAAAATGAAGAGCAGAGGGAAATCAGTCATCGGAGGATGGTGGAACCTAGGCTTACCTTCCGTATTTCTATTATGTCTCTTCTTCTTCCTCCTCGGATTATTTGCTTCTGTTCTCTTCTCTCAGCAGGTGCTTTCTATTTTCAAATCGTTATTTATACTTAATTACATGTTTTGTGGTACATTATTTGTTTAGTAGTTGCAATTGAACATGTAATTTTGTACCAAGTCTGCAATTGCTGTCACTAAGTAGAAGGAATAGCTAGTAGTGCTTACTAATTTTGTAAATCTGGATCTGCGCTGTTTGTATATATGTGCTGATTGAACTTTTGGGTATGGTAATTGGTAGGATGTACCTAATGTAAGGTCGAGGGTGCTTGAATCTGTTGATCTGGAGAAGGACTTTGATCCCTTGCCTACCGGTGTGTCTGGAGATGATTCCTTCACTTCCATCCCCTTTCAGGTGTGTTTCTCTTGTTTCAGTTGCGAAACTGTCAATTCTCCTTGTTTCGGATTTCAGTTCTCGTTTCTGAGCAGGGCGAACTGAAGTGTCCAGAGATTCTGCTGTGTAATCAGTTGTCAATTGATTGCCATATTCGTAAAATAGATTTCTATTTGAAGAGTTTCCATAAGGAATATTTGTCTAAGATGTTTTTCTAATATTGTCCCCTAAATTTTGAGCTCAAATTAGCACAAAGGGGCTTGAAGTAAGTAACATGTGTAGAGTAATAACAAATGTTCAAACTGGCACTATAGTATATATCAAGTTTTAAACTGCATTTGCTCCATTATTCAGGGGCAGAATTTGTTAATAATCTAGTTGTACTCTTATGCTGATGTAAAGATAGGCTATGAGATAGATACCAGGAAAGAGCTCAGAGGTTGTTTCATCAAGTGTAAACCCAGGTTTTCTCCATGTTTACAAACTTATTAGCTAGTAAATTGAATTCTGAAGCATCTAGGAAATGTTTATCAGACATGCAGAGCAATCTTGCTTTGATATATATCCTCCTAAATTTTCACTTTTCATTGGATTTGATCAAGGAGTTTCATTGTCCATTCTAATACAGTTTGATAAGTCACCCTTAACAAGGTCTGAGATTTTTGCCTCTGACTCAAACGCATCATGTATGTACGTAGGTCACATCTCTGCAATAGCTGGGAAGATACCATATTAACTTGTTTTATAACTTAAATCTATGTTGCTAAACTTGTAATTATTTAAATCATTCTATACTTATAAACTCTATGAGGGTTCTTTATGTCTAACTATTATTAAGTTCTTATATTGCATTTGCCTGTAAATATATTTACATTCTTTGCGTAGGTTTTAAGCTGGTTCCCTCGTGCATTATACTTTCCCAATTTTGCGTCTATAGAACAATGCCAGAGCATAATTAAGATAGCAAAGACAAGTTTGGAACCATCATCATTGGCTCTTCGCAAAGGAGAAACAGAAGAGACCACCAAAGGAATTAGAACGAGGTATATACGACTCCATAACTCTCATTTTTGTCAATCAGTTTCTATGCGAACTTTCTATCAATGTTGAACATGAACACCGAGACCTTTATTTAAGTCTTTACATTGTCTTAATTTCAGAGTGATCAGATTCTTATTAATTAGGTAATTTTTTCCAAAACTTATTTGATAATGTCAGAAGATCTAAACGATAATCAATTCAAACATGACTTCTCCTTCCCATTTCTGCTAAACTAGGTCACTGAATATATGGTGTGTGTTCATTTATCATCTTGTTTTGGAAGACAGCGAATTCACTATGTTCAAAACCACATGTGATTTGTTCTTTTTAAAGTTTCAATGACTTGTCTCTAATATTTTGTAATTTGCTCCAAAATATAAGAATATGATAGAACTTTGCGCTTCATGTGTTAGTATCTTTGAGAAGAATCTACATACCGTGCATGAGATTTACATTATCTTGTCAATTTCTTTAGTTCTGGCACGTTTATAAGTGCATCAGAAGACAAAACTGGAATCTTGGATCTTATTGAGGAGAAAATTGCAAGAGCGACAATGATCCCCAAGACACATGGTGAGGTAAAGTTCACTTACATTTATATCTTATATAAAATGCATTAAGCTCATAAGAACTGCTTATAAAAAAATTGCATTAAGCTCATCTCACCACATGTAGTCTTTGGTTTTGCTTCCATGTCTTAGATATTATTGATTTGATAAGTGGCAGAATTTTGGAAGAAAATCATTCTAAATCCCCCCACCCGCCAAAAAAAAAAAGGCCCCATCCAAACGGCTACCCCACCTATCTTGCTCAGTGCAACAGCAAAACTGTCGTTACTCTGCATCCTAGTTTAGTTGGCATCATTTGTGTAGTGCTAGTATTTGGGAAAAAAAAAAGATTGTGATTTTGAAACTAGTTAGATATCTTAATAAAACTATAATATGAACTTCCCATTTATATCTCGTTTGATTGGCATAGAATAAATTATGTGGACTTCAATTTTTATAATTCTTAAAAGCGAATATACCAAGAAAAAGATTAAAATGTTTATTTCTGATAGCTTTGAGAATTTAAAAGAAATGGATCCAATTTAGCTGTTGAAGTAATCTTATGTTATCAAGTGATATACTGAAGAACTTAAAAGAAGTGGGCCTCATTTTTCATTTTGATAAGGAGTATTTTAGCCTTTGTATACAAGATCAATACTTCTCACTGAAACACTGATTCGTCATGTTAATCTGAGAAGTGATATTTGAAATTTGAAGTTCAGAGTAATGCCTATTAAGTTACAGACTACGGTGAAGTAATAAAAGAATTCAGAATGGTAATGCAATGAAACTCGGATGACAGTTTACCGAATTTGGCAGGTGACTTTGAGGCCGTTAAATCTAAAGTAGCTAAGATGCAAGAGATTATGGTATAGAGTAGGTGATCATAGATCTCATAATGGTGTGGATACACTGCTTCTAACAAGAGATTCGTTTTCAAAGGACAAAACCATGAGTCAGTGGGTCAAGTTTGCAGTTCTAAGAGACAAAAAACACTAGTTGATTCTTTCTATTTGTCCTAGCCCTGGTGGACAGAGTTACTAGGTACCTGTTGCTGTTGGGAGTTGGCAGGTATACTGTGGAATTAGTGGACGTGTGCGAAAGGTGGTCCAGACACCACGGTCATCAAAAAAAAAATATCTGCGGTTTGATTAGCATCTGAAATTGCCTGGTATGGAGGTTTTGAGCTGGTTTTCCATAATACTTCGGTCAATTTCTTTACTGGATTTTGCTTTGCAAGTAACCAAATATATAACACATGTTTGTTCCTAGTACACGTGACAATTTACAGCTTGTCAATCTGCTAACTTGATCATTGTAGATTAATAAACATTGGTGTGATTGTATCTCAATTTTCTCTTTATCGCTTCTTACTGATTTTGAATGATTATCTGCTTCAGGCGATGCCAAGTGTTATATTCCTCCGGTCATTATTTTTCTTGAAGCTGAATAATTTGACCTTTGCTCTTCGGTGAACTTGTACGTGTTTCAGGCATTTAATGTTTTGCGGTATGAAATTGGGCAAAGATATCAGTCACATTATGATGCTTTCGATCCTGCTCAATATGGCCCTCAGAAGAGCCAAAGGGTTCGTATGAACTAAATTTTGCAGTGGTGCTATTTTTTCTAATTGACTCACTATTTCTCTTGTAGTTCAATTGAAATCTTACACAAAACGGCATCATGGATGGTGGAATACTATAGTATTTGATTATCTGTGCATGATGATGTTGTGCTTATCCATGATTCCATGTTACTCATATACATCCTCCTCTCCCCAGGATTACATATAATTAAAATAGAAAACTTTGATGTGTTTGATTTAAGTATTGGGTTCTATGTCGTAAATAAGCAGAATTCGGTTGCAACAACTCCACATTTTTAATATGGCATTTTACTCGCTTTACCTCAAAACTGCAAATGCTGGTCCTTCTGTGCAGTACTTTGCTGAACTCTCTCTAGCATGTGTCAGATGACAAAATTGATAAATAAATATGCTGCTTTATCTCTGATTGGAATATGTTTTTCAAAGATGGGGGCAGTTTTTTTTATCATTAAGCATATGTATTTTATGAGAAAATTTATCAAAAGAAATTAGTTGCATGCTTTAAGTGTAAACCATCTTTATTTGTACAATCTAAATATCACTCCTAATGGAAAGTCTTCAAAACATGTCGCTGTCTACTGTTTTTTTCAGTTAGAAGATATTGTTTTATCTTTTGACTAAAGAAATTCAATTGTTATCGTGTTCTCCATTACTGCTTTAGTAATTTCTCTTCAATAATCAAGATGATAATAATTGTTCTGTTGGTTTCTTATCTTGCCATTGATGTGACATCCTCTATATCCAACTTATTCTTTTCTTCATGGAAAATTTCTGATCTTAACTTCAATCTTGGAAATTGGAACCATCAGGTGAAAATGTGTCGAGCAAGTACAGGGATTGTACTACGCTTTTAACCATGACATATTCATTGGTCGAGAATTTTTTCACTGGCATTTAATGTTAAGGAATGCTTGTTTTTACTTGTCTGGACTAAACTTTCATTAATCTCATCTAGGTTGCATCCTTCTTATTATATTTATCTGATGTTGAAGAAGGTGGGGAAACTGTGTTCCCTTTTGAGGTGAGATCAAGTTACTCTCTACTCTCTTTCTGCCGATCACTACCTATCTTTGTGTGCCTGACTTGTAAATGGTCCTTTGTGGTTCATCTACAGAGCGCGCAGAATATGGATGGTACCTATGATTACAGCAAGTGTATTGGTTTGAAAGTGAAGCCACGCAGAGGGGATGGACTTCTATTCTACTCACTGCTTCCAAATGGTACAATTGATTTGGTGAGCTATTCGAATGCATTCATTGTTCTGATTGTTCATTGGTGATTTGTTATAAAGATCAATAACACATAGAAAGGAGTAATCAGTCAGTTAAGAAATTTGTTTCAAAGAGCTGATCCTCAATAGGTTAGCTGGAATATAATGCGAACTTTGTGCCATCTGTAGCTGCTAAATTCTAATGCTGCTATGTTAGTTTGCTTAATGCAATTAGAATATGCTCTTCGCCTTCCTTTTACTTCTTCCAGATGCAAGAAATTGTAAATGATCGTATATAAATTACCAAGGAAGAGGATGATCAACACAATGTAATGCATACTTTCATTATTCATACATGGCCTTGCGATTTTCATGTTTGTTTGAATTTTAATGCAGACATCACTTCACGGTAGTTGCCCAGTAATAAGAGGAGAAAAATGGGTGGCCACCAAGTGGATCAGGAATATAGAACAGGACGAGTAAATGCCTGTACAATAAAGTGTTGTTCATTATGTATTTCTAGTAATTTAACCTGAGTGAAGAAAACAGTTTTCGAGTTGATAGATTTATATAATGTGAATTTATTGTATCCTTTCCAGTTCTTCATTTTCCATCTCTCCGACTTTTTTATACCATAACTTTTAAAAGGCATTATTTCTTTTTTCAAATTTGATGCCCAATCAAAAACCTAAATTGAAATGGAGGGAGTATATGGTAGCAAAGCACATGCCTGGATTGTTGTATTCCATGGCAATTTGAGGAGAAAATAAAATTTCTTAACCACTTACGAAATGAACAAGAAAAAAAATAATCTTTTCAGATTTTCTCGTGTGTAACCACTTGTAAAATAGACATAATTTTTGTAAATAAAAAACTACGAAATCAATTGGTCGGCGTGCCTTCAATTTAAGGACGCAACTCACGGAAAAGGTTAAACTACATTGACAATAATATCTAGCTAGCTACACGAAGACATTTTCCTCATTTCATAAATAAAGCAAACGATCCCTCAAATACATGTAATTGTCAACCATATCTAATATCTATCCACGAGGGTCCACCTCTTTTTAAATTATATGGAAAAATGGTCTGATATATTTCTCAACTTTGTCATTTGGAGCTGATATACCCTCGTTATAAAAGTGACTCATATATGCCCTTACCGTTATACAAACGGCTCACATATACCCTTCATTTAACGGAAGTTAAAAAATTAGTTTTAAATTTATATTTATTACTTCTAATTTTTTTTTAAAAATTATTTAGGGATATATATGATTCTTCTATCAAAGTTCAAGGTATATTTTAATTTTTTTCATACATAAATTTTTTTTTGACTTCTTTTATTATAATTATTTGAATTTCTTATTCTTATTTTGTTTTTTTCTTTTCATTCCTTAGTTTAAAGAACAAAAAATTAAACTATTTTTTTGTGTGTATTGTAATTTAATTCGTATTCGAAGAAAAAATTTGGTCATCTACAATAAGTTTTACAAGAATATTAGTGAAACATAAATAAATTTGATTATCAAAATAATAATTATAAATTAGTCATTGAAACAAAAAAAATTCAAAAAAAAAAATATGTTTGACGAGGATTAAATTTACTCATATGGGATTATATTTTTTAGAAAAAAATAATAAAAATATAGATTAAAATTATTATTTTTTTCATTTCCGTTAGAGTAAAAGGGTATATGTGAGCCATTTGTTTACAAGTAGGGTATATATGAGTCACTTTCATAACAAGGGGTATATCAACTCTAAATGACAAAGTTGAGGGGTACATCAGACCCTTTTCTCAAATTATATTTTAATGTTTTCTTCATTTCAATTATGATATAGTTTATTTGAGTTTGAAGTTTAAGGAAGATTTCTTTTCTCTTTTTTTTTTCTAAAAAAACACTTAATCTAGTGTAAGTCAAAAATATTTTGTGCAATTCTAAACCATATCATTAATGATAAAATGAGTAGTTCAAATGAATTAATAGATATAAATTAATAGAGGCGGATCTAAGATTTAGAGTCACTGGATGTCAAGCGGAGGCGGATCTACATAGTGCTAAGCAGAGACGAACCCACACGATTTGATAGGGGTGCACGTGCATCTATTAACCTAAAAACGTAATTACGTGTATATATGTATATCTATAATGAAAAACTCACATAAAATATGATATAATCAACAGTGCACCCATAAGAAGCGAAGGGGTATCCTTGTTTAGTTGGTATAAACTTGAGGAACCACTCGAGGAAATACGATTTAGTCTAATTTCATTATTTTTATTTTAAATTTAGCTTATAAATCATATTTTAGCCATTAGTTACTAATCTAATACTACATTATTCGTTAATTATAGTAAAAATTTTGTTAACTACCTAAATTAAGATAGTATTGGTGCATCAAAATCTTCAAATTTTGGATTCGTCTCTAATACTCAGTAGACTCATTGATTAAATCAATTTTAGATTCAGATAGAATTATTCGTCTTGTGGCTGAACGAGAGAGCATGATTGGGCGATGAACGAAAGGCTGAAGCTTTAATTGATGACAATTTTTTGTTGTTCAAAAGTTTAAAGGAAGAGTCAGGATTTCAACGGTGAAGAGATTTTTTTATCATATATTTAATCTTATAAAAAAAGTCAAAGAATTAAATTAAATTAGTTAAAAATAATTATTGGTTAATACTTAATGATAAGTTAATAAGTAAAAAAAAATCAAAAAACAAAAGAAAATGTGCCTTGTGGTTTAAAAAAAATGTTGCTAGCTGGATCGATCCCACGAACTAAGACCTATCAAGTAGATGGTCTACCATTGCACCAAAGATTATTTTTGTTCTATGGGTGACACGTTTATTATTTATACATATATTATATATATAAATACTTATACATAAATAGAATTTCTGTCGAAGCCTGTGAGTGGCGTGGCACCCCCACAGGCCTTAATAGATCCCTATAAATATACATTACTTTTTTTAAATGGATTTGAAAAGGTGAAGGTTTCCGCGTGCAACAAAACTTTTTAGCATGCTTATTAAATGCAAGTAGACTTTTCTCATAGACCCAACAATTATATAAATTGGAAAAAGAGGCCAACACAATAATGATATCCTCATCTACTTTGTTGATCATGTCTTGGTCATATTCTCGGCTTAAAAAAGAATGACCTGTTTTTTCTTTAATTTTTTAAAAAGAATGATTTTTTTTGGTAATATCTTTTATTTTAGTTTTTTCACATGGTATATTTAAGATCACAAGATTAAATGATAATTTTGTACAATTGACATAACGTTAATTTAGGATCAAAAGATTCAAAAATATTTTTTATATTATTAAATTTTGTGTCAAATCAAATCAGATCACTCTTTTAAAAAGAGTGAGTATATTTTTATAATATTAATTTGGTTAATCGAAAGGGTTTGATCCTTAGAACTTTTAATTCTTTTCAACTCAATTAATGCTGTATTTTTGGTTTTCCAAGAGTTATATAACTAATTTTTTAAAATTAAATTGAATTAGATTATCTCAGTATTTTAAAACTAAAATCAATTATTAACAAATTATAAGAAAAATATCATAAATTACTGTTGCTCTTATATCAATATGTCAAAATTAAAATATATATTCTAAAATATCAATAATCTCAAAAAGCAAAAAGTATTGCATAACTATTTGAGAGATGAGTATTAAATTTATTATATTATAATTAGAGATTCTCAATCTAACATTTATTTGTGATTTTCTTAAAATTTCACATAAAAATCTACACTTTACAACTTTATGTTAAAGTACTTGAGTATTAAGAGAGAATATATTGACAAAAAAAAATATTTTTATCGAAGATCTTTCATGCTCCAAGTCAAATAAAATTGAAAAATAATTGATTCGAGTGACCCCAGTATCGATCCACTAGATCTATCCAAAGTCAAGTTATGTGGCTTGCCAATATGAAAATGATCAAAAATTATGGCATATGCTTCTTTTTTGTTATGTCTTTATTTAATAATTATGGCATATGCATGCATTACCTTTTGGAGTTTAGTTTCCACACCACACAACTTTATTCTACGACCAAACATATATATTAATATAAATATATAAGTAAATTTCAGAGTGGATCTGTTGTGTGAAGAGTACGATGGGAGTAATTAAAGAGGCTCACAATGTTAAAGTTATTGGGTCAGGCAAGACTACCGTTGGTACTTGGTCATGGTTTCGGCACTGATCAATCAGTTTGGAAACATCTTATTCCTTACTTAATCGATGATTATCGTGTTGTTCTTTATGACAACATGGGCTCAGGTTCGACTAATCCAGATTCTTTTGATTTTGAACGATATGCCTATGATTTATTTGCCATTTTAGAGGATCTTCAAATTGATTCTTGCATATATTTGGGACATTCTTTGTCATCCATGACTGGTGTTGTTGCTTCTATATTTCGTCCTCATCTCTTTTCCAAACTCATCTTACTTTCTGCTTCACCAAGGTGAGATCATCAATGTGATTGCCATTCAAATTTAAATAGGTTATATTCAACTTATATATGATATATAATATAGTGCAATTATTTGTTTATTTATTTATTTATAATTGTTTGTGGTATGAAAGAATTTCATGCATTTACTTGATTCAAATTAATACTAAGTACATTTGATTCATACTTTGTAATATTTTTACTATTTCTTTCAACTTTGAGTGCGCACAAGTAGAATCTTAAACTTGTATAAAATCAAACAAGTAGACACATGTATTCTACATGACATAATACATGTAGGATGCCATGTAGGATACAATTTTTTCATGTAGGGTGTCATGTAGAACAAATGTGTCTCACTACAACAAAAACAACTTTTAGCGACATTAAATATTGACACTATTAAAGAATGTTAAGTCTTTACCGGCATTAGTTAAGCATCATTAGAACCAATGTCGCTAAAGGCTTTAGGAACATATACAAAGAGTGACAATTGCCGCTAAAAATATATATTTAGCGACAATTAAAAATTAAATGCCGCTAATGGTCATTTTTGTTGTAGTGTCTATTTGTTTAATTTTATACAATTTTAAGTGTCTACTTGTGCACACCCATAAATAAATGTCATAGTTACCCGTTAACGCCAAGTTATGAGTCATGTTTATATATTATACCTTTTCAAAATATTTTACATACTTTTAAAAGATTTGTAAGAATAGTAATATATTTAGTGTACTCTACTACTCGCTCTAGTATGAACTGTCGAGAAACTATTTTAGGGCCTAAATAAATTGTCACTTTCTACTAATGCCCTTTTAATGAAGTGAAATGATTAAGAGAAAAATAACATAAAAGTTCAGACTATTACTCTTGTAACTAATCAAGGTTATTTGTGCATCTTTACCAAAACGTTCAAAACCTCAAGGGAATACAATTATAAGTGATTACCTTATCTAAAGAATTAAGCTGTTAGAGAAAACATATTTTTTATAGTTAATCATATTCTCAACACATTCACTCATGTGTGGGTATAATTCTTTTTCATGGGCAAGCACGTAGATATATTCTTTTTATTATGAATGTCGGTGAGATTCTATCTTAACATATTTATCTGCTCTGATACTATGCTGAAG